TGCTGAATAACAACACTGGTGTCACTGGGGGCTTCAACGGCTGCATTAAGGATGTAAGTTACAGACCCATTCATGTTTTTAATTGCACTAAATCAATGCAATCGTAGTTACTTTTGACACTCGTATAATAAATACAGAGCGAAAGGCTAAGTGCAAAGTTGATATCGTCACTGGAATTGCGAAAGTACTAAAATACATTTTGGCCTTTTGGAGGTTAGTAATTTCGCCTTTCCAGTGTCGATATGTATCTTATACATAGGTACAAACAACATTTTTTGCTGTGGATACAATTGATTAATATAATTGAATGGATTTTATTACAAAGTATTAACGGTACTTTTCATCTCAAAGAAATAGTCCTATTTTCATTGTTAATAACTATTTATTCGTTAATTTGTTGAATGTATAAATAATAAAATAAAAAATAAGTAAATTTGAATATTTTTTTACGAGTGAGTTGCCAAATTTCATAATGTCAAATGACCACACGCTTTAGTTACTTATAAGTTGTTTACAAGTATAATATCATGCTTATAAGTAAATAATGTGAAGGAATTTATTTATGATGGTCTTCTCATCAAGTTTTGATCGTTATTTTTGGTAATTACTCATGTTTTTGAGGCGCCGCTTTAAAGGAAGGTAAAGCCGCTTTGTTAGAGGAATGTTATTCATTAGCTTGCTGTCTCTCCTTGTTCATATTACATTTGTTTATTTATGTTTCTATATAGGTTCAGGTGTATGGTGAAAGGGTGGATATTGTAAATGCTTCGATTTTATCGGCTAACGTGCAGGAATGCAGCAATTATGATGACAGGGATGATCGCGGAGATATACCTGAGGTCAGTGGTGTCGTATGTCGATTGTGAGATCACTGCTACTATATTATTACCCCTCATGGAAGAATGGCATCACTGAAGTTACGCCAGAAATGTTTATTGCTCCATTAGATACAGAGAAATTATAACCCACATCCTCCCCAATTCTTTAACTCTATCGGCAAATATTGTCGATAGAGTTGCAAGAATTGGAGACGATGTGGGTTACATTTCTTTGTATCCAATGGAGCAATAAACATTTTTCTTCCACGAGGGATGCAATTTGTCTTAAATGTTTGATTCTTAACTTTGCGAAGTAATAACTTATAAAAACAATGTACACTAAAATTCAAGTTTTAAAATAATAATTATTAATTATGCATCCAATAAAGATCATAGATACGACTATTACGATACGATACGATATCGTTATTTTAAACCTATTGTATGTATTTGTATGCAGTTTGAAAGTTTGTGTTCTCAATGCCGTAACGGCGGGCGCTGCATCACATCGGACGCGACGGCCTGCACTTGCCCTACTGGATTCACAGGACTATACTGTGAGACTAGGGTCCCCTTGCCCTCACGCCGGCCTCAATCCCCTATCGACCCTTGTCTAAGGAGTCCGTGTCGCAACGGGGGCACCTGCAAACCTGATAACACTGCTGCCTACGACCGCAACGGCCGTCTGAACTACACTTGCGATTGCCCTCTTGATTTTGCTGGAACCACCTGCCAAATGCTTACGTACTTCTATATTCTTCCTCTGGTTTGAGTTCAGTTCTTACAATGTTAGATATACGTACAAATACTGTAAGCTCAACGTGAAATTATGAATTAACGAATTTATATTACGAATTATTAAGTTTTTTGGTTCAACGACCCAGCTCATGGCTTACATCACTAAAAGACGATACTCTGTTCGTGATAGTATCATCGTAATGGAAACTAATAACCACTTGTTTCTTTTTAGCTCTGAAACTATTGCAAAGCGTGGGCTTCCTCGGCAACGGGTACCTGGAACTGCCTGCAAGTCTTCTTCGCTATGACAATAGGGATGGGGAACCAGCGGTGATCGCTCTGGCGTTCCACACTACCAGTGACGGCGTTTTGCTTTATCAAAGAGAGGCTATCAACTCTCCTAATTATGGCGATTTCATACTTTTACGCAGTGAGTTCTTTTTACATTTCCCTACTTAGTCTGTACATCGTCATAATGTGGTTCTTAAAATCGCATGCAATTTGTATAGGGTATAGGTAATTTATACAAATTATAAATTATATAATGCCAAAAAATAGGTATCTAACATTGACTTACAAATAAACGTCGGGTCTAATACAAAAACCACGAAAAAAATCTCCCAAGTCAACCTATTTAAACGTAGTGACATGTAAAGGAATATGAAAAAGCTAAAACGTTGAATTTAAATTGTAATGTCATCGCAGTACTGTCTAATTTTGCTTGCAACAATTGAAAGGCGCAAAAAACACCATATTCAGCTTCTACTGGAAACTTACCAAAATGCACCATATGTAGCTTCTAGTGAAAAGTACTTGAACACAGGTATAATGGAGTAGCCTTTATTATTTATAAATCAAGTTTATATGTAAATGTTGCATTTTATACAATGCCATTAATTACGAGCTAGAGTGTCTGATTTTTTTTTCTTGACTTTCGAGAATTTTCGTACCCGATTTTTCGAGTTATTCCAGAACTTTTTAAAAACCGTAAAAAATCAGCTCAATCAACTAAATGTGAACTTTTCGAAAGTTGTTTTGGCCTGGGTGTTCTGAGTTGTGCCTCAAAATAAATTCCATTGTTCTTGGTCCCAGGTTCGATTCCCGGTAGAACCAATATGGGAAATGAACTTTTGTAAATTGGTTCTGCTCTGGGATTCTGTTGCTCTGATACTCATGGGGAGTATGTACAGAGAGTTCTCTAGTTTCAGACCAGGTGATTGTCTTACAATAGAATGCCAAGACCAGAACCATTTAGAAAAATTAATTTGTTAAATTGATCCTACCGGTATCGAACCCGGGAATTTCTCATCCAGTGCCCACAGTGCAAACCGTTAGGCTATCAAGGTTGTACTATTTGTATTATTACGCATTGTTTGCATGTGAAAGCTACAAATTGCTTAAACTATTAAAAAAATCCTATTTAATTTGCAGTGTCAGTTTGCTTCAATTACCTTCTTTGTTTCTTAAGTTGGTATGTTTTGTCATTCGTCCAACTTTTGATTTTTAATGCATTTTGGCGGTGTAAGATGTTCTCTGTTAATACTTGTCACTTTCTCCTTAAGTTCAAGCTATGTTTACTGGATAAATTCCTGTATTCTCTCCTTTCTATGCACAGTTCACTCATTGATGTAATTACATACCAAAACTTTACTATAATGGTCTTTTATCAAGCTTGCATCAGCTATGGTTTCCTTTCTTTTCTTACCATTTTCTTAACCCGTTCGTGCATAGTACTGAAATTATACTGCGCTCAAAAACGTCACCACTTTTCTATATGCCGTAGTGCTTACATTGATTCAATAAAATTATTACGGTTTATCACTGACGACGGTTGATTCCGTCAACAGGCATAGTCGTACTGCTCATAGTTCTTGCAAATATTTCTTGTGCATGAAAAAGTACGGCTATGACGGTAGTAGGGAATTTGCCGTTGTGAGATAATTACAAAATTTAAATGGGCGATATTGATTGCGCAAGAGAAACGCTTTCCAAAATACTTACACTAACACTTAGGTACTAATTAATAATAATAATTATAATAACGCACACACTCAACATTGCCCCGCATTAAGGAAAGCCAAATTTTCATAATCCTGAAAACCGATTTATAATAAAACCGTTATGCTTTAGGGAGTTTTGGATGCTTATTACATAGAAAAGATTAAGTTAGCTTAGGTTTGTTTTGTAATATTCTAAAAAAAACCTAAAATATACTTTCGGGATTATGGAAATTCATGCAAACGTTATTTCGGGCAAATGTATTTTCGGTCTTCTGATTCGTAACCCCAAGCCGTAGAAAGAGTACAACAATATTTGAAAGTATTACTAACATGTATTAAAAAATATTTTAATAATGATATTAGCATCAAAGCGACTCTATGAAATTTTTGTTCCAAATATTTTAAACGATTGTGTTTGAAACAATTGAAATTGACGTGTTGGGTCTCGTTCAGTCTTTTACGCAAACTATGAGCCGGAAAGATACAGTTAGCTATTTGATTGCTTTTGTAATTTATATTTACGATTAATTTAAATATAAATTAAGTACTATATATGTATACTAGTGCATAAAATAACACTTTTAAATAATAACTACGATAACACAATTTAGTACTTACTGAAAATATAATATACCATTCTGTTTTTTCACTTTAGTTGAGTAATTTTTACAAGGTTTTATTACACAATACGGCATCATTGACAAGCGCGCTGTCAGTCGAACAAACGAAGACTAAAGCGTGAATAACACTCTGCATACGATTTTAACACCCTATAAGTTCGGATACTTTTTAGCGCGGACCCGACGTCCATATAAATGTAAGTCAATGGTATCTAACGTATTTTTTGACATAATATAATTTATAATTTGTTGAAGTTTTTTGGTCTGAAATATATCCGAATTGTTATGTTTCATTTTCAAAAATGACATGTTTATTACAGTTGAAAATGGCAGGCTCGTGTTAAACTGGGAACTGGGCAGCGGACCGGGCCGTCTTTCCATAGACGAGGTGTATGTAAACAACGGCGAACGACATGACGTAAGTGTTCTTATCCATAGGAATTGGTTATATGTATTTAGGTTTGATCTACAGGCATCTTTCATTAATAACATTGCGAGGACGAGCAGAAGTCCTGTATTCACATGAAATTTCGCGTACATGATTCGATTGGCCAACTTTATTTCTTGTTAAGGTTCTGTAATTTAGTAAACAGTCATATTTATTTACTAACATGTATGCTCCCCGAATTTTGTGAAAAATAAAGTAAAGAAACAAAAAACAAAATTCGAAAAAAAAACGAACTATGTGAAAAAAAAATAAAGAAACCAAAACAAAATAAAAACAGAACCTTCTAAAATTAAGTGGGCGTAGTGTTCATTGAAGATATCGACATTATGTCCTATCAACAAATAGAAGACGGGTCTAATGCAAAAACCAAGAAAAAAGGTCCAGAGTTACAATTATTTCACTTAGTGACATGTACAGAAATTCTGCTTACTTACTTACTTATTCTCATACTGCTTAATTTTGTTTGAAACAAAATTTAAAGACCCTAAAATTCATCACATTCATTCGGTTAATTAATTTATACCTACAGATTATGTAACACATTACAATCTGAATTATTTTAGAAGCGATTCGTAAACTATCTTGAAGCGAAGAAGTAATGAACAAAACCAAAAATAGATATTCCGAATTTTTCCATCCTAATTCAACGTAAACCCAAATTTTCATAATACTGAAAACCGATTTATAACAAAACCGTTATGCTTTCTGGGTATTTTGGGTGCTTATCTCAAAGAAAAGATTAAATTACCCTTTACCTTGTAATAGATTTATTTTATAATACTCGTAAATATGTATAAGGTTTGTTCTATAATACTGCTAAAAAAATTCGACCAAACGTTATTTTCAGGCAAATGTAATTTTGAGCTTCGGATTGGTTTCCTTATGTCTTTTACGCGTGCAATGTTTTTGTGCAACTTTTTTATTGGTTTTATTCTATAATTCTATAGTACTGAACAAAATAAATACTTTTAATTATAGTCATACAATAGCACAATAGACTAATTACTGAAACTATCATACAACAACCTGTACTTTCACCTTACTTGAATAATTTTTACAAGTTTACATTAACAGTACAGCATGATTGACAACCTCGCTGTTGGTCGGCCAAATGTTGACGGGCGCGCGATTGTTTGCGATTTGTTTCTCTTTTGGTTCGGATAATTATGTTATTAACAGTTATGCTGTAGTCTCTCACTACTCAAAAATGTACCGGTGATAGTAGTTATAGTTTACACGCAAATTGTTTATTGCGAGAGAAAAAAGAAAACATTATTTTGCTGTTGTTTTTTGTAGGTGATTGCAAAGTTTTACGATGACAACACTGTGAGCCTGACAGTGGATCGCGACTATACCCGATCTGGTAGCACGATCGACCTTTCGAACCTCATGAACGCCGACTCCAGCATTTACATAGGTAAGTGAAGTGTGTCCATAGCACCCGCGACACAGGGTTTCCCTACTGCGGGGCTCTGTTGAGTGTGTGCGTTATTATTATTATTATATTTATTTTAAACTCTCACCTCTCCCAAGGCCTAAAAGATTAATTTTGAATTTTTAAATGGGAGAGGCGGTATTTCTCGGCAATGGCACAGTCGGCCGGGGTCAGGGACTCAGGCCCAAGAACCGGCGAACAGTACATGCCGTATCGAGCAGGACCGCCTTCTGCATTTGTTTTGGAAGCGACACACCACAGAAATCTAACCACCTCAAGCTGTTAGAAAGGCTGACTGGAATTAACCCATTTGCGGACAAAACAATCGGGATTATTTCAGTGGAGGCCACATCTCACATGTCGGTGATCTCGTGCGCCAGGTCGAGATACTTTCGGCGTTTCTCGGTTTCAGCTTTCACGTGGCCCTCGTCATGCGGGATGGTGACGTCCACAATAAATACCCTCGACTGCGATCGATCCAATATCACAATATCAGGCTTATTCGCAAGAATAGTCCTGTCCGTGATAATAAATCGATCCCAATAGATTTTGGTGCGGTCATCTTCGAGTATTGGCTCCGGTGAATACTTGTAATATGGCCACATGCCCGACAAATGTATACTGTGCCCTTAGGATATATTTCCGATAGTTCCGCGTCTTGATAACCTGATCCTGTATTGCACAGACAAAACCTTCGGTTTCCCCAAAGAGGTCCCCGAAACGCAGCCAATGTAGGGAGGCTTTACGGTCCACAAAAGGCTCGTGCAGTACCTTGAAGAACCTCCCATGGAGCTCCTTCTCTTTCCATACGGACTCGCGGTCAGAGGTGCTAAGCACCACCGGACCTCGCCATTCCTCTTTGGCCAACGATAAGGGACTTAGCCCTTTATCACTTGTGACAACTTCCCCACGAATTACGGCATCCGTCATCGTCAAAAAGTAGTTTCTGAGATTGCATATCTCGCGGTTGTGCATGGTTTTGACACTTAATAGGCCTCTACCTCCACACTTCCGCGGGACATACAATCTCATAACTGACAATCTCAGATGATGCACTCGGTGAGAGGTCATCGTCTATCCGGAGCGTCTAATTTCGTCTGAGTCCATTTGAGCACGCCAAATGTGTACATCGGAACAGGCATGACCCAGGAGTTATAAGCTCGGATCTTATTAACGCCTGACAAATAGTTATTTAGCACATTTTTCAGGCGCCCATAAAAAACCTCGCACACACCCTGTTTCACGTCTGCTTCCTTCATACCGATGGGCTGTGACATGCCCAGATACCGGTATGTTTCAGTCTCTGAGAGTACCCGCCGGTGATTGGTGCCAACATTAATGCCATCAGAATACATGACACGTCCTCTCTCGACATGGACCACCGCGCACTTATTGATCCCAAGCTTCATCCTAACCGAACTCCTGAAATCGTTGGTGATTGTCAGCAGCTCCGTCAATCTGTCAGCTGTGGGGCCGTATAGCTTGAGATCATCCATGTAGAGAAGGTGAGGCATTCGCGGTCCACCTCGCCGAAATCGAAAGCCTGTGCCGACCTCTCTAATAGAGTACTCAGGGTTCAGGGCCAGGCAAAACCACAGTGGACTCAGACAATTGCCCTGGAAAATACCTCGCCTTATTTCTATTCGGTCATCCGCATCCCTCATCCGCCGACCGTCCAGACTCAGGACCTCCAACACCCCATGCATTGCCCGAGATTGATATCTATTATTATTATTTCTTGTACTCGACTGATGGTCGGATGATTAGAACCAGGTACGGGCCTAAGCCAAGTGTTCTGGTTCGGTTGTGGTATTGTGAGGGGATGTGAGTGAGTGGTGATTTTTTGTGGAGTTTGTTGAATCAGGTGTATTTAAGAAACGGCGGACTATCGAGCATGTGTCTAGTAGAATTGACTTTTGTAAAGGTATGTAGGTTTTAGGGTGCAGATCTATCATTTTTAAGGCGGTATGAAGGGTTTTCAGTATGACACCAGTTGACGAAATTATAATGGGGACTATCTTGATGGTTTCTTGGTGCCACATCTGTTTGATTTCGTCTGCTAAAGGTATGTATTTTTGTATTTTTTCAGTGTGATTCTGTTTTAAGTTGTTTGTATTAGGAACGGCAATACCTATGAGGTAGGTGGTCTTTGTAGATTTAACAGTCATTGTTATATCAGGTCTGTTGCTGAGGATAGTTCGGTCGGTGACGATGTCTCGATCCCAATAGAGCTTTACTTTATTATTTTCCAGCACATTTTTCGGTTTGTATTTGTAGTATGGTGTGGGTGTATGTGTTTCTGTCAGACTATGTTTGAGTGTAAGTTGTTGGTGAATGTATTTGGCAACATTGTCATGGCGGTGTGTATAATCTTTGTTGGCGAGTACGCTGCAACCTCCTATTACATGATCTATAGATTCAGTGTATCGGTGGCACAATCGGCATTTGTCGGTTTCTATTGATTCATTTAGGATATATTTGGAGTAATTGAGTGTTTGAATTACTTGGTCCTGTATAGCTGCTAGGAATCCTTCTGTCTCACTAAATATGTTTCCTTTGGTAAGCCAGGTGGTTGATGCAGTTTGGTCTATGTGATCTTGCTCCAATTGATGGGGATATTTGTCGTGAAGTGCTTTGTTCTTCCAGTTTTCTAATTTCTGTTCTTGTTTTAGAATTCTGGTTTTTGGGTCAAATTGGTTATTGTTCAATTGTAGAGGTGTTCCAGAATGAGGTAAGAGTACTATTGCTTTGTGTAGTGTGCTGTCGTTGGCTTTACTGATGAAATATGTCCGCAGATTGTCTATTTGGGTGTAGTGTAGGTTTTTAATGTCCATGAATCCGCGACCACCTAATTGTCTTTTCAGTGTAAATCTTTGTACAGCAGAGTGTATATGATGAATGTTGTGTCTATTGCATGTTGTCCTAGTTGTGGTGTTGAGGGCATTAAGCTCAGTATCGGACCATTTAATGATTCCGAAAGAATACGTTAAGATGGGGATGGCGTATGTGTTAATAATGGCTTTGACTATATTTCTGGCGGATAATTGGGTACCGAGTATTGTATTTAGTCTCTGTTTATATTTCGTTTTCAATGTGTTTTTTATATTGGTGTAATTAATTGATGTACTTTGCTGGTATCCTAAATACATGCATGTCTCTCTGGGTTCTATGCTGTGTATAGTCCCTCTTTGTAGCTCAAGTTCATAAGAATCTGTTCTGCTGAGCTTGCCTTTAATGATGCTATTGATTTTACATTTATTTGTTCCAAAAGTCATTTTTATATCTGTGCTGAATTTTTCCAATAGTCTTAATAGATGGTCTAATTCTTGTTTGTTACTTGCGAATAGTTTTATGTCATCCATGTATAGTAGGTGTGTAAGTTTGATTTTGTTTTCTCTGTCAATGATGTATCCATATGTAGAGTTATCAAGTATTCTGGAGAGAGGATTTAAGGCTAGACAGAACCACAGAGGACTAAGAGAGTCGCCTCGGAATATCCCGCGTGCAATTTTGATAGGTGTTGTACTGAGTGTTGTAGTACTAGTCTTCACATTGAGTTTTGTTGTCCATTTGGTCATTGCGTGTTGTAGGAACTATATTAGACTGTTGTCAATCTTATATATTCTCAAGATGTGTAGTAGCCATGAATGGGGCACGCTATCAAAAGCTTTTTTTGGTAATCGATATATGAGTAATATAAACTTCTGTGTTTGTGTTTTACTTGATTGTGTATTTCCGCATCTATTATTAGTTGTTCTTTACAACCCATTGAACCTTTACTGCAACCTTTCTGTTTCTCTAGTATGATTTTGTTTGTTGATATGTGTAAGCTGATTTTATGTGTAATAATGGATGTTAGTAGTTTGTACTTAGTTGGGAGACATGTAATGGGTCTGTATTTGGCTGAGTTTGTTGTGTCACTATCTTTGGGTTTTAAGTAGGTTGTTCCTTGAGTAAGGAAAGCAGGCATGTCGTGTGGATTTTGAATGAAGCCGTTTAGTGTGTTTGCTATGTGTCTGTGAGTTGAAGTTAAGTATTTGATCCAATACTTATGAATTTTATCAGTTCCGGGCGCTTTCCAATTTAATGTTCTTTTTATTGCTTGTGTTACGTCATCTTCGTCGATTGTTATTTCTGGCATAGGTCATTTTTCTCCATCTCTTGTTCTTCTATTTCAATCCATGACGAGTGTGTATTGTGTTGTACGGGTTTTGACCATATATTTTCGTATCTCTTCTATGTTTGGGTATTGTGTTACTATTATGTTTTCTGAGTTGAGTTTTTGGTAAAATATCTTTTGGTTTATATTGAACAAAATATTGTCTGACTTTCTCTGGTTACTTTTTTTGTATCGGTTCAGTCGTTTGGCTTGTGCCTGTAGTTTTTGCTTATTTTTATCGAGTTCGTCTATTAATTCTTGTTTGGTTTTGTTATTAGGGTTTTGTTATTGTTATTTTTGTTGTTTTTTCTGTGTAAGGTTTCCGTTTAGATATTGTGTGAGTTGTCCTATTTCTTTCCTTAGCGTTGTGATCTTGTTTTCTATTCGTTTCTCCCATTGTGGTTTCTTTTGTTTATCTGTTTTGTTGTTTTGTGTATGGGAAGCGTGGTCTACGGTTTTTTTTAGTTGTTCTGTCGTCTAATGTCGTAACTGTTTTTGCGGCACAGTATATAGCAGTGTGAACTTCTTCAAACGTGATTACTTTTTGGTTTTGTGTTTGGCAACTATTTGATTAACGATGTTAACAGTTTTAACTATTTGCCGTGTCGTTTGTAATTTGGGAATTGATAGTCTGAGTGTTGGGTCTATGCCTGTGTACTTTATTATCATTGTTGTGAATATGTTTTCGACTTGGTTGTAATCTATTAGTCCTACTGCGTCGGTATTGGTTCATTTCCTTGTGTTTGAATGTATTCGCTAGTTTCTAATGATTCAATTGCTTCTGTTGGTGTATTAATTTGTTGTTCGAGTGTATGGATCTGTGAGTGTTGCGCATTGGGTGTTAGTTGAGGTGAGTGTATATTAGCTTGTTGACTATGATGTAGACATGTGTCTGAGATCTGTTGTTCTTCTGTAGTATTAACAGTGCTACTTGTGACTGGGGGTGTAGGTGTAATCGTCTGTTTTTTGCGTTCTCGCTCGGGTTTTGGTATTCTATTGTTTCTATGTATGACCCTGATTTGATCCGATAGTCGCTGTTCAGAAAGATGACTCAGTTCTGGGAATTGTTGTATGAATATATTATATAGCGATGGCCTCCAGGCAGTCATATCAGTTTCGCACTTTGTTACTGTATAGTAGCAACAGAGGAGCTCTGTGTTAATATCATTAGTCCATTTCATCCGTTGTCTACTTTTTCCTGCTAGGATGGTTGCAGGAGACATATCCTGCAAAACACTTCTTGCTGGTGTGTTGATATTAAGGTCTGATGATTGTGTGTAGTGACCTACGCAGTTTATTGAATTATTATTTCGTAGTATTCGCGTAGTAGTGGTGATGTCAGTGGTGGGCACAAGAGAATTAGCAACTGCTTCTTGTGCAACATCGCATCGCTTGGCACTTGTGATGTAGTTGTGGATCGGGATGATTGAGGAGACTGATGGTGTGCAGATGAAATTGGTGATGACGGGGTTGAGTAGCGTAAAGGTGATGAATTTTCATCACTTGCTGCAACAGTATTGGACTGGGCAGACCTAAGCGATACGGTGCCCCCCCCCCAGAATACGTGGGGCAGCCCGCGCCTGAAGGCCCGGGGCGGGATTCTCCCATGATTCTCATCATTGGTAAGTTTGTAGCATAACGCTTCCAATGTCCGCCCCTCACGTAGCATCAGGTGGTCGAACCGGACGTGGAGTTATAAATGATAATAATAATATCATATTACATATATACAATATATAATATAACTCACAAATATTATTATTATTATTATGTTTATTTTAAACTCTCGCCTCTCCCAAGGCCTAAAAGACTAATTTTTAATTTTATTATTGTTATTATTATTATGTTTATTTTAAACTCTCGCCTCTCCCAAGGCCTAAAAGACTAATTTTGAATTCTATTTTATTTTATTTTATTTTTATTTTTTATTATTTTTATTATTATTATTATTATTACCATTACCATTACCATTATCATTACCATTACCATTACCATTCCCATTCCCATTCCCATTCCCATTCCCATTACCACTACCACTACCACTACCACTACCACTACCACTACCATTACTTTTACCATTACCGTTACCATTACCGTTACCGTTACCGTTACCGTTACCATTACCGTTACCGTTACCGTTACCGTTACCGTTACCGTTACCGTTACCATTACCATTACCATTACCATTACCACTACCACTATCACTACCACTACCATTACTTTTACCATTACCGTTACCGTTACCGTTACCGTTACCATTACCATTACCGTTACCGTTACCGTTACCGTTACCGTTACCATTACCATTACCATTACCATTACGATTACCATTACCATTACCATTACGATTACGATTACGATTACGATTACGATTACGATTACGATTACGATTACGATTACGATTACGACTACGACTACCATTACAATTACAATTACAATTACAATTACAATTACAATTACCATTACCATCACCATCACCATCACCATCACCATCACCATCACCATCACCAT